CCGCTTGTCCAGTCCGTGCTTCGCCAGCTTGTCCGAGGATGTTACAAGAGACGGTGTTGAAAGTCTTACTAAAGTCAAGACAGACAACATAGCCAGTTGTTTCATCATCGGAGGTTGTCAGGCTGGTGAAGCGTGATTTTCCCCCCCCTCTTCATAAATCCATGTTGACTACTCGTGATCACCCTCTCCTCCTTCACGTGACTGGAAATGGTTTCCAGAATTACCTGTTCTTTCCCAGGGATGAAGTGAGGCTGACTGGCCTGCAGTTCCCCAGATCCATTTCCTTGCCCTTCTTGAAGACATTTGTTTTCCCCCAGTCATCAGGAACCTCTCCCAGTTGCTGTGACTATTCAAAGATAATCGCGTGTGGCCTCGCAATGCCATCAGCCAGCTCCCACGGCACTTGTGGGTCCATGATGTCTCGTCCCATGGAGGGGTGTATGTCCAGTCAGTTACCGTTCCCTAACCCGATCCTCTTCCACCGAGGGTGAGTCTCCTGGTTCTGAACTTCCCCTTGAACTTTCAGGAGCCTGCGATTCCTGAAGGCTGGTCTCACAGTTGCCCTTCACATCCCTTGCTGGAGTCAGCTCCAGATGGGCTTTGGTTCTCTTATCCCCATCCCAGAGTGATCAGACGATTTTCCTGGATCCCTCCTGGGTCACTTTACCCCTGCTGCTGCACTTCATTTGCTTGTGGGTTTGGTCAGGAGCTCCTTGTTCCTCCTTGTAGGCCTCACCTTGATTACCTGCTTGTTGGGATGGACCATTCTTCAGCTTGGAGGAGGTGACCCTTTAATATCAACTGGTTCTTCTGGACCCCTCTTCTCTCCAACTCTGTATCCCATGGGATTCTTCAAGTGCATCCCTGAAGATGCTGAAGTCTGCTCTCCTGAAGGCCAGGGCTGTGATACAGCTTTTTTTCCCAGCTCCCTCCTCTCAGGGTCCTGAACTCCACCATTCCATGGTCACTGGAGCCAAGGCTGCCCTGACCTTCACATCCCTGACCGGTTCTTTCTTGTTTGTAAGTACGAGGTCCAGCAGAGCACCTCTCCGTGTTGGCTGCTTGATCACCTGTGTTAGGAAAATGTCATCATCATCAGGGCACTCCAGGAGCCTCCTCGATCGCTTCTGCCAAGTGGTGTTGTCCCTTCGGCAGATATCAAGGTGGTGAAGGTCCCCCATGAGCTCCTGTCCTTCCTAAAGAGCCTGGGTGCATCCAGATGCTCATCCAATTGCGTGATGTATCCCGCTGTGTCTCTGTGATCACAGAGAGTGTAGCCCTGCAAGAGCAGGCAAACCTGCTGCCCGTTCCCGGTGCTGCGTGCAGCGGTGTACGGGCGCTACAGAGGCACCCAAGGGTGCCGGGTTCCCAGAAATGGTGTGAGAGCTTTCCCCGTAATGCCCCGCAGGCGCTCTCACGTCTGCACACATGCCTTCAGGTGTGAGTGAAGGTGGCTTCCCTGACGCTTAGTTGGACATGCAAAAACGTGTGTGAACTGCCAGGACGGCGGTCTTGCCCGAGCAGAAACAGCACGTCTCCTGGCAAAAGCCTGGAACATGGGAGAAACTCCCTGTGTTACTGGAAGGATGCAATATTTATCTTGGATCGTTTAACCTGGCTTCAGTGTCTGAGTCAACGTGCATATAGCTTTAGAAAAACAGAGACTCTATTTCTGTCTCGTATTCTCCCCTACTTGCATCTTCCCTAATGTAACTGAACATCTACAGAAGGGCTGCAGTTCCTCCTCCTCCTCCCCTGGTCTGTGTCTATATATACACCCTGTGATGCTGCGGGAGTGTTTGCTTTGGAAGAAACCTCCATCTGAGCCAAACCTAAACGTGCGAGATCAAGTGTTCCTTTCTCCTCCCCTTCAAATCAAACCGATGCGCATTCATCCTTCTGAAGAACCTGACTCCCTAGGAAATTCAGACATCGGTACACATCAAGCCTCATCTGATGCTGCACTTGAGCAGAACTCAAAATGTGCCGGAAAATACAGGCTTTGGCTTCTGCCTGGGGTGCACAGTGCCTTTTGTGGTCAAAGCTGCTGAGACTTGGCTTTGGTGGGGGCAGGATGAAGGTCCTTCAGGTCCCTGTGCAAGTTAGCGCTCAGCATTGTAGTCAAAGACGCAAATTCAGGCACTTGTAGGAAAGCGTTCGTGTAAGAAATGCCACGGATTGGGGTTTTGGTAAATGCTGAATTTTGGGGGGAATATGTGTGCTAGGAAGCAGAGTTTCCACAGCCCTGGTGGAAGGACCAGGCTGTCATTTCTGATGCTTACCCAGAACTGACGCTTGTGCTTCCTGCAGGAATAAACTGGACTGGAGGAAACGACTGCCCAGTCTCTAAGACCCATAGATGAACCCAAGGTCCCACCTTTAAACAAGCGGATTGGGGTGGAAGGTAGTGCTGGTGTTTCATTACTTTTGATGAAGCAGAATAGCTCATGTTTTCCTTGTTTTGCATCCTGTGAACATGCCCTTTGCTTCTGCAGCACAAGTGGTGCTTCCCGCAGGAGACGTGACACGCTTGCCTCGTGGGGTGGCCGAGCCTCCTGGGCCTGGAGCACGAAGCCGGTGTGAAGCAGCGAGCGCTTTGGTCTTCATCCTTTCTTGTTTCTCGTACGCATCAGAGGTCAAGGACTAACAGGCCAGTGCCTGAAAATAGAGACTTGGAACATTTTTATTGCTCTTTGATCGTTGGTAGAGATAGAAGTACAGTCAGGTTTTCAGTTACACCCAAACCAGCCCGTGCTGTGGTGGCATTGCCGTGTGTTCCCCCTTTTTTGGGAGGAGCGTAAAGGATCACATAAACTCACTTCCCCACTAAGCCCCTCCAGCCTTTGGTGATCAATGGCTCAGGCTTCCTGAGCACCCTTCCTCCTTCTTCACTGCTCTGAACTCATCTGGCCGCCCTTTGGGCCCAGGTAAGCTCGCGGCACTCGCCGTGCGGAGGAGGTCCCAAGACAAGGATGCGTGTTGCGCTGATGGGACCGCACGGCTCGCCCGTGTGTAGCGCGGCGGTAGCGCCGGCTGTGCCGACACAGGATGTTGGGCGTGCAGCACCCTGCAGCCCTCGCACACAGCGCCTTATCGCTGCTGTTGTGGTGTTCCCTTTGCCCCTGGGATGCAGGAAGTGGATATTTGAACCCCTTATTTGCAGCATTAATCCACATCGTGCTCATTGTCATAGAATCATAGAATCACAGAATGGTTTGGGTTGGAAGGGGTCACCCAGCCCAACCCCCCTGCAGGAGCAGGGACACCGTGAACCACATCAGGTTGCTCACAGCCCCGGCCAACCTGGCCTGGAATGTTCCCAGGGATGGGGCCTTCACCCCCTCTCTGGTCCTCTGGGCCCCCTTGAAGCCCTGACCGGCCGCACTCAGCTCTGCCCGCAGCCTTCTCTTCTCCAGGCTGAACACCCCCAACTCTCCCAGCCTGGCCTCACAGCAGAGGGGCTCCAGCCCTCGAGGCATTTTAGTAGCCCTCAATTAATGAGTAAGGCATTGGATAGGTGGGTATGGCTGAGTCAAGTGCTGCTTAACCTGTGAATATTTACTTTCAGTTACATAGGAAAAAAGGGAGGCAGAGGCCATGATTAACCGGTGACTGGCTGGGGTTTCGTCGTCAGAGTCCGAGTGGGGTACGCCGTCGGCTGTGCGGGCGCGAGAGGGAAGATGCTCGTGGCACGAACAGCAGGTGGAGGTCCTGCGTTCAGGACAACTAACTGCCCCGCTGAGGTGCCGCAAAAATACATTGCAGATTAAGGAGTTGGATTTCTCTCTGGTTTGTATTCTGTGTGACTCTGAGGATGTGCAAACAAATACTCAGGATGTGGAGACTGGGCTGGTTTATGTTTAACAGGAAAAAGCCCCCTCCACGCAGAGGAGCCCTGTCGTTGACCTCTAGCATGGAACACGATCATGTGGGTTTGTAGCTTTTCTGGTGTGTTTTTGGTTGGTGGTTTTTTTTTTTTTTTTTTTTTTTTTTAATATTTTATTTTTTTTTTTGGCTTGTTTTAGGTCCTTCAGGTTAATAAGAAACTCCTTTGACAAGTAAGAGCATGGAGCTGATGTTTGCAGAAGGGTGCAGTGCTGCTGCTGAAGAATAGAGGCAACTGGAGGAAATGGCCAAGTCTCCCTGGCTCTGCCCCTCCTTGGCGTGGAGACCAGCATTGGTACAAGATCAAGCCTCGCTGTTTTAGTGTAGGGATTGCTGGGCAGGCCTGCAAAGGACAAGCAAAAGGACCGATTTTATCCCTTTACAAAGACGCTGCCGGTTAGACGAGAACTCCAGCTTGCGTGGCTGGGGCAGCACGAGTGGCGTGGAGGCTCGCTTCAGCAGCAGCAAAAGGTCCCATGTCCTGGCGGACCTCCAGGATGTGTGGGGGTCCCACTG